TCTGCCTCCCCAGTGCTCCACCACCACCTAGCTAAGTAAATTCTTTTTAAATATCTATTTTTACATGTATGGGCGTTTCGCCTGCATGTGTCTGTGCCATGTGCATGCAGTGCCCATGATGGCCAGAAGAGGGAGTCATATGTTAGTGGACCACCTGGGTCCTCTGCCAGAGCAAATCCTCAGTTCATTTTTTGTTTGTTTTTTGAGACAGGGTTTCTCTGTGTAGGCCAGGCTGGCCTTGAACTCAGAGATCTGCCTGCCTCTGCCTCCCTCAGTGCTGGGATTACAGGCGTGCTCCACTGCACCCTGCTTCTCAGTTCTTTCTTTGGATTGTTGGATGTGGTTTTGTAAAGTAGAAACTCATAAAATATATGGCAGGTAAAGAGATGTAACTGTAATCTCCACACCTGAGAAACAGGCAGGTCACTGCAAGGTCAAGGCCAGCCCGGCCTACGTAACTACACGAGGCCCTCCCTCAAAAAACTAAGAGAAGTAAACATATGGTTTGTGGTAAACAGAGCTCTAAACGGAATGGCGGCAGGAATCTGTCCTCGGTGAGGCTCTACTTGAATGCACTTGTTTTTAACCTTGTTTGGCGGGGGCTGGAGTGCAGCAACCAGAAGTCTCAGGAAGTTTCTCTCCACCCACCATGCGGGTCTCCAGGATCAAACTCGGACCATCAGACTCAGCAGCAGGCTCCCCTGAGCCATCTCACCTCCCTTGAGAAGTTTTCTTTTGAATCCTCTTTCCATCTGTAAGAGCTACTGCACGTGCAGACTCTGCTCTGAGTAGCAGGGTTCAGGGTCTAGCCTTCTGCCGCTGGCTTCAGGCGAGCAGCTTTACCAGCCAACAACCCTTCTGTGAGCTTGCTGCTTCCACTCTGATGCAAGGGCCTGTCTTCCCTGACCCACAAGTCGTAACTGGCTGAGCTGGCCCGAGCATCCCATTCCTTAGACACAGTAATTGGCTAGAAAGGGTCACTTGCCCAGGGAGCTTTTTTTTCCAAGAGATGCGCAGAAATGCTAGGCCAGAGGCTGGAGGTGTATTTCAGTAGTGGGGTGCATGTTTATGTATATGCACAAGGAGGCTCTGCTGTCCCTTCACCGAGAGAATTAAGCAAATAAACAAATGCTGGAACAGCTTTTCTCCAAGATCCTAAGGCCTGATACTGCTGCCAAAACTGGGCCTCGGGTTTCATGGGTGATGAAAACTCCAGTCCAGCAAGCCAGATGTGGTGGTTTGAATGAGAATGGCCCCGCTAGGTTCATCGATGTATTTGATTCCCAACTGGTGGAAGTGTTTGGGAAGGATTGGGGCTGGGGCTTTGTCAGAGGAGGTGTGTCCCTGTGGGTGGGCTGAGGTTTGAAAATTCCCAGGCAGCTCTTTGCCTTGTGCCTGCTGATCAGATGTGAGTTCTCACCTTCCCCAGCACCATGCCTGCTGGCCCACTACCATGCTCCCCACCATGATGGTCATGGACTCACCCCCTGAAATGGTGAGCCCAAATAAACTCTTCTGTTGCCTTGGTCATGTTATCTTCACAGAAATAGGAAAGATACTGCCAGGCATGGTGGTGCACACTTTCAATTCCAGCACTTAGGAGATAGAGGCAGAGGCAGGAGGATCTCTGTGAGTTCAAGCTAGCCTAGTCTATACAGAGGGTCCCAGGACAGGAAGGGCTACATAAAGAGACCCTTCTCAAACAAACAAACAAACAAACAAACAAACAAAACAAAAACACTGAGGAGGCAGAGGCAGGTGAATCTCTGAACTGGAGACCAGCCTGGTCTACAGAGTGGGTTCCAGGACAGCCAAGGCTACACAGAGCAACCCTGTCTTAAAAAAACCAACCGGGCTGGAGAGATGGCTCAGAGGTTAAGAGCACTGGCCATTCTTCCAAAGGTCCTGAGTTCAATTCCCAGCAACCACATGGTGGCTCACAACCATCTATAATGAGATCTGGTGCCCTCTTCTGGTGTGCAGCCACAGGTGCAGTACAGAATAGAATACTGTATAAATAAATAAATCTTAAAAAAAAAAAAACAAAAAAACCAACCAACCAATCAACCAACAAACAAAACTGGTACTTAAGGCTCCGACTCTATAATCTAAACATTCTTTGAGTACACAAAAAAAAAAACTAAGACACAAACAAGGCAAAGTATCTGTAATAAACCTCACCCTCTTATTCCCATTTATTTGATGGCCTCCACAAACTGTCAAAATGGCACAAGCCAGTGCTGCTGCGGAAACCACGGTACTTTTGCCCTTCAGGCTTGAATCATCATGGCCTAGCTCTTGCCACGGAAGGCATGCCAGGGAGGTCTTTTCCAGTCCATGCTTCAAGCCTCCCTGCTCAGAGGGGAAGACTGGGCTCTACAGGACTCCTGAGGATTTCTGTTCTTCTGCAGCCTGGCGCCTGGCACTGCGCAGCTGGAAGAAACGGTAGGCTCGCACGCTGCAGAGGTAACCCCCGTACACGGTGAGGAGCATCATGGAAGCGGAGAAGGTCTTGTAGCCAATGTCGGCGAGCTGCTTGGCAGTTGGCATGTCTACCCCTACAAAGACAGACTGGAGTTGGTCTGCAGCACAGGCCTCGCCTCCCTACTGGAACCATTCCTTGCTTTATTGATGTATCCTCAGCTGGTGACCTCACGTGTGGCTGGTCTTACAAGGGTTGAGGACGGCAGTCTCAGAGCGCTGACTCCAAAAGCCTGCACCTGAGGTGCACAGAGGGCTGCAAACAGGGCGTCTGGATGCCATCAGAGCTAACACTTGGCCCCCTAATGTTTGTGCTTAAAAAGTGACTAGCCCACCCAGACTGCGCTGGGCGTCCAACCTGAGTCCTCTGGAAGAACAGCAAGTGCTTTTAACTGCTCAGCCACCTCTCCAGCCCCAGAACCGTATTTTAATCAGACTGCTCAATTATGGTAGCCAGACTCTACCTTCTCACGGGTAGCCACTTCACCCTGCTGAAATGCTAATTTCATCCTGTTCACGGATAAAGGAGATCTGAGTATGATTTAAAACGGCATGTAGTCAGTTGGTAGAGTACCTGCCTAGCAGGCACCAAGCCAGAGGTTCAGTCCCCAGCACTGCATTAAATGGAGCAGTATATTCTGGTATATGCCAGAAATCCCAGCACTCAGGGTGTGGAGGCAGGAAGACCCTAAATTCAAAATCACCTTTAACTACTTAACGAATCCCAGGCCAGTATAGGCTGCACAGGACCCTGTCAAAGGGGTGGGGGTGGAGGGCTGATACAGAGAGAAGCAAGTCCAGGATAGCCTCAAAAACCAAACCAAACCAAAGCTGAAGTTAGAAGCAAAGATTAACCCTGCAAATAAAAGAAGCTCTTGAGATTGTCAGAACGTTTTCATTTGGTGGGCGCCCTTTACAAATGCTGTTAGGAAGCTGCGCACAGTGGCCCACGCCTGTAATCCCAGCACCCGAGGAGGCAGGGGCAGGCGGAGCTCTGTGAGTTCAAGGACAGCCTGGTCTGCAAAGCGAGTCCAGGACGGCCAGGGCTACACAGAGAAATACTGTCTCGGAAAACCAAAACAAAACAAAACAAAACAAAATAAAACACAAATGCTGTTAGGAAATATAGGAATGGACTGTAGGTTTCAGAAAAAAAACAAGACAAACACAGAAAGAATAATGACGATAAATGCCATAGGGGTGCAGTTTGCAAAGGTTTTGTGACTACGATTTTCCGCCCTCTACACGTGAGAGAAATTCAAGGCTCGTAATTCTGGAGAATTCAGAGGCCCGTACGATAGAGCGCTCGCTCTCGTTTTGGATTCGATCCGAAACACCGCCCAATAAATCAAACACACAAAAAATGAAAATCGCAGCCCCAAATCGGCCGACCTCAGCTTCAGCCATTTAGCCCTCTTAGGAGAACTCCTGCCTAACGGAGCCGATGAAGGTAAGCTATGACGGACCCCATGTTCTGTTAGATCGGCAGAAGGTGGCGAAGACCGCGGAGAGGCGCCCTGGGGGGGCCGTGAGAAGCGGGCGAAAGGCTGTGCGGTTGGGCTGGATAGACAGAAAGACCGGCAGATTTAGGAGAGGGAGGGCGGTCAGGCCGCAGGCACAGCAGGGAGGCAGCAGGGCCAAGGCGGCCCGGGCAGCCGGCGGTCGCGGCGCTGTCAAGGGCGCAGGCCGAGGACGCGGGGAACGGGGAGCAGGAAAGCGGGGCGCCCGCCCGCGGCCTACCTGGATGCTGCAGCTCGGCCGCGTCACAGGGATTCCCACTCTGTCCGCCACTCGCGCGGCCGAAGCGGGGAAGAGGCAGACCCGAACACCGAGCGTCACGACCACAGGCGCGCGGCCCCGTCCCTGACCCGCCAGCCCCTGCGAAGACCCGCCTACTAAGGCAAGAGCCGGCTTTGAACTTCCGGCTTCCGCCACCTCCCTTTTCCGCACGCTCAGTTTAGTCTTCCTCTCCGAAAGGCCCAATGAATTCTGGGGGTTGTGGTTCGGCTCCCTCGAGAGCCCTCCTTGGAAAACCCGGGGGCGGGGAGAAAAATGTAGCTCAGAATCAGCCAATCCCCAGTCTATGTAGCAGTGACGTGCATGTAGCTAGGTAGATTCCCTCGGAATCCTCCAGAGGTGGACCGCGCGCCCCCTAGCGCCCAGAGCGGCTCTTTGCTGGGTGATCGGGGGTGGCGTAGGAACTGGACCTGCGCTATGGGGGTGACTCGCTAATGTGTCTGCCTCGTGAGCGACTTCCTCGTATGCAGGCGGTGTGACAGACCCCCAAGAAGCGCTGGGAAGACTGGGTGACAGCCTGGGTGGAGGAGGGGTATAAGGCGTAAGCGGGGCGGGGAGACAGGAGGGGGCACAGTGGACGCCTATGCTGATTGATTGAGTGGGTGCTTTTAAACAGAGATGATCCTGTTTTTCACTTGCCTTACACTGAGGAAATCATGTATGCAGTAATACATGACTCCGCACACTGCTGCATGACCTGCCACATAAACTCCGACTCCGAGTTTCTGGAAAAACCACACTTTATTGGGTAGACCAGCGGAAGGCCTCCGATTCACAGTTGACTGACTGAGCAAACATAGGTGTCGGTGTCGGAATCTCTCTGCACCCCAGCCCAGCCTCCTGGGCGACAGCTCTGAATTGAGTCAATGCGTGGGAGCGTTCCTGCCCAGCTCCCCCTCTTCACCTTACCCAACAGCTCTGACCTTCATTGGGAAGACTGAGTTCTTAAAGGCTAGGAGCAGAGAGGGGCCTGGTACCTTAGTGTGTTAGTTCGACATCGAGCTGGCCAGAGCCACCGTGTGCCAACTGCTGCCACCCATGGAGACCCCTAGTGGAGGCAGAAACCTCAGCTCCTGGGGACTATTTATAGCTAGGGCTCCAAGCTGCTGATCTGTGACATTCTCCTGCAGCCACCCAGCCTTGGAAAAAGGCCAGTGCAAAGCACACGTCCCATCCCCCTTCCGCTCTTCCCTCCCCCCAGGACAGGCTGTTTCCCAGCTCCTGATGCGTGGGGTCAGGATCTCATGGGGACCTCATTCCAAGGAGAGCTGCCCTTGGACGCTCGAGGCCCACCGACCCCTGCAGAAGCTTACTGAACCTTTGAGCCGCTCCTTAGCACTCCTGGCTGCTGGAGAACAGCTGAAACAGGTTCTGGGTTGGGCAAGAGGACAGAGTGGAGTCAAAAATAGAGGACGAAGGGGCTGATGATGACTCCAGAGAGAAGCAGCCTTGTGGGGAGGACCCTGGGCAGAAGGCACAGGGTCGGGATGCCCGGCAGGAGGGTCAGGCTGATTCTCCCCCAGCAGAGCTTTGACCAGGGGAGGAGGGACAGAGAGAAGGTCAGGGAGCCTGGACAACCTGAGCCTGCTCTGAAAAAGTGTGGCTCTGTCAGCAGATTAAGTTCCTGCTCTCCAAAGAGGGTGCTGGCAGCCTGGCTCAGGCGAGGGAACGCTCGGAAAGGTCACACAGGGTGGGGAGGCGCTGGCAAAGCTCTAGGAACCAGGAAGTCGGTGGGGAGAATGGCGAGCCCTGGGGCCAGAGATGCCAGTGTCGGGCAACTCTTGTCCCAGAGCAGCCTGGGGGAGGGGCCGGCAGAAAGAGCAGAGGCTTCTGAGGACTCAAATGTTGCTAGGAGAAGTTAGAAGTTGTTTGAGACCTTTGTATTCTGTTAACAAACACTGAGATCATTGACGCTGCCCGGGGCCCTAGCAGAGGTCGGCCAAGGGGTCTCTGGGGTCTGTCAGCCCAGGCATCCAGACCCTCTCCTTGGCAGCCTTTGCCTCAGCCTGCCTGTGGCTAAAGTACTTCTTCGGTCACTTAACAACTGGGCTTGGGATATATTCCCAGTGTGCGTGAGGCAGCAACCAGCGGCCCTTGACCTGGCACCCCCCCCCCCCCCTCCCGGGCAGGCAGCTTGGTTCTGCACTTCCCAGAGGACAGTGAGAAAGCGTGCAGGCTCTGGCAGCCATTCCGCATCCCCAGGTGTGCAGCTGAGGCCCGGCCTCCCGTCCTCAGTGTCCTTCGGTGAGGACTCAGATGAATGGGGAGTCCTGGAGACTGTCCTGATGACAGCTGTGGCACGCTCCGGCTCGTCTCCGCTGGAACAAAGGAGCTGCCTGTCCTGGGCGCCGGCCCCACTCACATGTGCTCCGGGTGGTTCTGCAGGCAGCGGATGAACTCACCCACGGGCTGGCCCTCATAGCACACTTTGTACACGGCAGTGAACAAGGGAAACCTAGGGAGGAGGGAGCTGCGCTTGGTCCCTACTCTCAGCCCACCCCTAACACCTACCCCCACCCACCCCCATTCCACACTCCTGGGCTGACCCAGGCTTCCCCGGCCTCCCGCCTCGGGAGTCCGGCAGACTCTTGGCTGCCGCCTACTAGGAACTGGAATTCCCAGCGTAGGATTTGGGGTCAGGTTGCCATCCACCCTGATCCTTACCACACTGCTTATCTGAGGCCCAGGCTTTAATGGTTTTTGTGGTTTCTGATAGGGTAACCATGTAATCCACCGGGCCTCAGTGTCAGTGGCTGTAACGGGTCCAGCATGCTAGAGTAGCGAGGATGTGCTTTAGGCCTCACGAGAAAGTGTGCCAGCCCGGGTATTTTTGCCATCCTCGCCTGGCTAGTCCCTCACCCAGAGCCACGAGCTGCTCTACTGAGCTCACACCATGCCCACTTCATCTGGGACTCTCCGTGCGCCCTGGAAAGCAGCACCCCGAAGCAGAGCCCGCTCTCCCCAGCACCCAGGACAGGTGTCGGGGACAGAAATGATGGTGTTAGGGGAATGAACAAAGAAAGGTAGGATGGTCAAGTGAACTTTCCTGTGGTAGCGCCCCCTGGGGTAGGCGACAAGAACAGGAAGGGGAAGCTGCACAGAAGGGTCCCAGCAGCCGCAAAGATCGCAGGATCTACAGGGTCGTGAGCGGGCCCAAGATACTCGGCACTCAGACTGTCAGGCTCTCTGTCCATCGCACAAGTTTGTGGGTGGGGTTCAAGGAGATGGGGGAGGAGGTGCCAGCCAGCCTCGGCTCCCTTCCCCAGGGGTATGGCAAACACTCACTTGTCCACGAGGCCCTTGTGCTGGAGGATGCTGTGTAGCTCCCGGGCTGTCTGTGGCCCCTGCAGCTTCTGTCCATTCAGCATCTCTTTCTCCAGCTGCTCAATGGACTGTGAAAAACACGACATGTGGATGGAAGCGGGAGAGCAAGGCTGTGTGGGCAGGAAAGTCTGGGGGACCTTCTGGGGGTAGGGGAGAGATTCGAATGTTCCAAAAACCTCTCCTTCCCCATGAATAAACCCCGGGCCTCAGGCAGACGCCACCTTCCCGTCCACATCCATTCTTGTTTGCGCCCGCTTCTCAGACAGGGTCCGGCAGGTCCTGCCTCAGCCTCCCACGGGGCACCAGGCCCAGCCACCTTCCTGCCGATCGCCCCCACCCACCTTGCCATCTCCCTGCCTACCTTTCCAGTGCGGGCGAAGGCCTCCGCCACCTTGCGGTTGCGCCCCCCGTAGCAGGTGGTGATGAGGTCGGCGACCCCGCAGCTCTCCAGGAAGGTGGCAGAGGACACCGAGCCTCTGCAGAAGAGCTTGGCGAAGGCGATCATCTCCATGAGCCCCAGCCGGATCACAGCCGCCTTGGTGTTGTCACCGAAGCCAAGCCCGTCACAGAAGCCGGCCCCAACGGCCACTATGTTCTTTGAGGAGAAGGCATGGGTGAGGAAGTTTCCTCTCCACTGGCTCCACATGGAGCCTTGGGCACCTCCCCTGTGCTGCCCATATCAGCCAAGACACAGCCGTAAATGAGATGTGATGTAGCCTCTTAAACTATGTCCTCTGCTTCCTGCTTTCCCATTTCGTGCATGCGTATCGGCTCCCCCTCCCCGTGTGTGTGTATTTGTGTGTGTGTGTCTGTGCATGTATGTGTGTATGTTTAGATGTGTTGATACATCTGTGTGCCTGGTGGTGGTGCAAACTTTAATCCTAGCACTCCGGAGACAGTGGCAGGTGGATCTCTGTGAGTTCCAGGCCAGCCTTGTCTACAGAGTTCCAGGACAGCCAGGGCTACACAGAGAAACCCTGTCTCAAAAAAAAAAAAAAAAAAAAAAGACTAACATTGTATTCCTCTGCTCCTACTACTATTATTATTATTTATTATTATTATTATTATTATTATTATTATTATTATTATTATTATTATTTTGCCTCTGCCTCCTGAGCGATGGGATTAAAGGTGTGCCTTACCATGCTCAGACAAACCTGTTTTTGAGGCAGCGTCTCTCAGTGAACCTGCAGCTCAATGGCTGAGCCCGACTGTCCAGCAGACCCAGGAACCTCGTGCCTCTGCTTCCTCACTGTTGGACTCACTAGTGTACCAGCAAGCCTGGCTCTTTAACAGGGTTCTGGCGATGAAACTCTAAGTCCTCATGCTTGCCTGGCAAGCACTTCACCAACAGCTCCATCTCCCCAGCCCTGCGTGCCTTTCGCTTGCTCGCTCACTCCCTCCCTCCCTCCCTCCCTCCCTCCCTCCCTCCATTTCCCTGTTTCTTTCTTTCTTTCTTTCTTTCTTTGTTTCTCTCTTTCTTAACCAGGCTGGCCTCAAACTCAGAGATCCACCTACCTCTGCTGGGATTAAAGGCACGTGCCACCGCAGTTCTGGCCATCAGTTTTTTGTGTACCCTGAATATCCTGTCCCCCTTTAACCTGGACATCTGTTCCCCTTGGACCATCACATGGACCCAGGTGGGAGGTCTAAGGGAGTGGAGGAAGGCCTGGCTGCTGACTGGCCAGGAATCAGGGGCCCCGGTGCCCAGCCTTGCTTTGTGGGTCTTCCGTGTGCAAGGGAGACGAGGTGAGACAAGGCGGATGCTGCCTAAGCGCAACAGTTGGCCCCAGCAACCCTGCAGAGCTGAGCTGGGCGCTGTGGGGCCCCCCAGCGGCCTCTGCGCGCTCACCTTCAAAGCCCCACAGATCTCCACCGTGTCCACCTCTTGTACCACAGTGATGCGGAAGTTGGGCGTCTGCATCAGCTCCTTCAGGAGCTGTCCCTGGGCTGGGTCCTTGCAGCCTAAGGTGGAGAAGGGGTAGGGTAAGGCTTTGAGGGACAACTTTTTATTTTTATCTTTTTGTTTGTTTGTTTTGAGACAGGGTTTTTCTGTGTAGTTTTGGCTGTCCTGGACTCGAACTGGATTTGTTGACCAGGCTGGTCTCGAACTCACAGAGATATGCCTGCCTCTGCCTCCCAAGTGCTGGGACTACAGGCATGTGCCACCGTGCACGGCTTTACTTTTATCTTTAAGATGGTCTCTTGGGCTCTTCCAGGCTGGCCTGGCACTCCTGGCCTCAAGAAATCCACCTGCATCAGCCTCCTGGGGAGCTGGGCTACATGGGCATGCCACTCCACAAGCGGAAACACGTCTGTCCCTCACACACCGGCCAAAGGGAGACTCTCAGCCCCGACTCTGGGATGCACCCCCATGTTCTCCTCCTCCCGCCACCTCCAACACTTTCTTCTTTCCCTGCCCTGTGGAGGGAACTAGCTAAGGGACTTGGGAGGCAGCTTGGTGTGGCAGGGGCTCTCACCAATGGTTGTCTCACAGAACTTCTCGTCGGCCACCTCGCTGGCAATGTTGGCCCCCATCAGCACGCTCACGGGGATGCCCAGGCTCTCCGAAATCACTTCAGAGATGAGCTTCAGCCCGTTGGGGCCCTCATCTACCCCCTGGGCATAGGACAGAGCTCAGGCCAGCTGTCCTGCTCCCCACCCAAGAGCAGCCTCCTCCAAGTCCATCTGTGTCCCTGTCCAGAGGTCCTGCCTCAGTCCCACCCGGCCCAGACTTGCTGTGGGGCTAGTAGAGAGCAGTGAGCAACCCGGCTCATCACACTCCCTTCCACACACTCTCAACCAACCTACCTCTCGAATGTGGCATGTGTGCTCCTCACATCCCTAAGAAGTTCCCCAGACACCCCAAACCACTTCCAGCCCAAGGACGGATCCAAACCAACCACCCCATCATCCCCTCCCCTCTCCCCCTTCCTTTCTGCCTGGTTCCCAGTTTCTTTTTGGTGCTGGGATTGAACCCAGGCCCTCACGCATGCTAACAAAGTCTACACCACTAAGGCGCACTCCCAGCCCCACCTGCTTTCTTAACTCTCTTGAAAGCCAGGGCCTCCCAGCTCTTGGCCTCTTTGCTTCTCTCCCCAAAGCCCACCACAGGAAGCTGAACCCCACCCCATCCACACCCCGGCACCTTGATAAGCGATATGCCGATGGTGTTGGCCTTCAAGTGGCCCTTGAGCTGGTCACAGATCTTGCCAATGAACTGATGGGGCACCACGAAGATCAGGATGTCAGCACCTTCGGCAGCCTGGGCCACATCTGGAACAGCCACCTGTGGGGAGACAGGCCGCTCATGTGCCTGGAGAGCTCTCCTAGTCTAGGAGGACCCCATTCAGAGTATCTTCAAGCCGAGGAGTGATCGTGGGGGAACGAAGGTGTTTGAGACTGAAAGGGGAAGATCAGAACTTCCTGTAGTCCCTGTCTCTGGCCGTCATGCCTCTTTCACTCTGGCTCTCTTGGGTCCCCGAGGCCTCCTAGAACACTCCACCACAGGCACACTCTTAGCCCTTGGCTATGGGTCAGTGAAGACAGCCAAAGGCAGCTCAGCTTGGCAGGAGGAAGAGGCCAAGTAAGATTTCATCACTGCTTCTTGGGGCCCTAACTTGGCAGCCATAGCCCTGGTCTTTCTGCCTATTCGGGGCTCCCCCTCTCTAGGTGAAGAGAGCACCATATGGATTAGAACAAAGACCAAAGGTCCAACAACTGGCCTTCAAATCTGCTAATAACCAGTGAATGAGTAACAAGATCAGAGTTCAGGGCAGGCATGAGAGGCTGAACCCCGAGTCTAGGAGCCTGAGAACCAGCCTTCAGTTGCCACAGAGACCAACTTCTCCCTCTCCCCATCCCCTTTTCCCACCTAACAGCCTTTAAGGGGTGGCACATTTCAGATTCCAGAAAAAGCCCAAAGGGGCTAGTCAGGAGCTGCACACGCCTCCCTTTCTTTCCTCTCAGCAAGTCGGGGCTCACCACATTGAGGGGCAGCTTGTGCCCCGGCAGGTATTTGACGTTCTCGTGCTGCGTGTTGATTATCTCTGTTAGCTTTCTGCCCCCGATGTCTTCCTCAAACACCCACATGGTCACTCGTGGGTCAAAGTGTGCCAGCCTGGCTGCATTGCTACCCACGATCTTGGCAATGGCTGAACCCCTGGGAGGAGACGCAGGAAAATGGAGTAGGGTGAGAGGGAGGAAACAGCCTCGTGGGTAGCGCCTCAAAGAGCTTGTCTGCTGTTTTTGCTTCCCACTTCTCCTGTCACCACCCCCTCCCCCTCACGACTCCCATGATAAATGTGCCTCCCACAGCAGGTTCAGTCTGCCCTGGTCTGTGCTGTTGGAAGGTGGGCTAGCCTGATCCCACCCAAGTCTGAGCAGCTTGCAGGCAGGGAAGAGAGAAGAGTTCCCTGCTCACCTCCCTACGGTGAACAGGTGCAGCTGCCTGGGCCGGCACAGCAGGGAGGGCCAGGTACAGTCTGTCCTGTGCACTGTAAGCACTGGACCCCAGCAGGCTCCTATGGCATTTCGTACCCTCTGCCTGCTTTCTGCCCACCCAGCCTCTCTCTGGGGAGCCCCTCTGCCCTCAGAGGAGCCAGCCCTTCCCCCGTGCCCTTCACAAAACCACTTACCAGTTGCCGGAGCCGACAATACAGACTTTCTTTCCAGCCATGCTGCTGCTTGTTTCTCTGCCCAGCGGGTGTAGGCTCTGAGTATTTAACTCCACCACACGTGGGTACAGCCAAGCTCCGCCTCGGAGGTGGCCCAGAGGCTGGAGCCCAGGGACAGGGAGTCTGGCCAGAGAAAGGGGGGGGAAAGGGTAGAGACAGGTGGGGAACAGGAGAGGCAGGGGCCAGGCCAGCTTCTCCTCTGGTTCGCAGCTGACAGTGCTGGCCGCTTCCTTCCCTTGGCCTCCGCTTAGTTTCCCACCTACTTCTTGCAATGGGCTCATCTGGAGGTCGGTCAAGAAACGTCTCCACTATTCCCTCAGTCCACAGCACTGAGATAAACTGCAGCCAACAGGGCCAGGCATGATGGTGTATGTCTTCCATCCCAGCACCTGAGAAGCAGGGGAAAATGCATGTACACGAGCTCTGGGGAGAGGGTTAGGGAATATGAACCCTTCACAGGGTAATACCACATACAAAGCAAGGGGCTGCTTTGCGGTGCACCAGACCAAGGACAAAATACCCCAGGAGAAACCAGACATGGTAGCCCACGCCTCTAATCCTAGCACTGGGGAGGCAGAGGCAGGCAGATCTCTGAGTTCGAGGCCAACCTGGTCTACACAGTGAGTTCCAGGACAGCCAGGGCTACACAGAGAAATCCTGACTCGACAAACCAAAAAGAGCAAGGTCATCTTGGTTACAGTGTGAGCACCTTCACCTCAGATAACCCCCGCCCCCTGTCTGAAGGTCTCTAAAGGGAAAGAAAGGAAGGTCAAAGGTAACAACCTGCTGCCACGTGGCTCCCGGTTCTCCCAGGCTTCAGGAAGGGCAGAAGAGGTGGCAGCTGGCACCTGCCCTGACCTAGGGAAGCTTGATGCTTCCTTCCATTTCTTCTCTCAGGTTCTGCCCATCCCACTGGGCCCTTTGCGTTAAACACTAGTCTACAGAGACCAGGAAGGGAGCAGCTGGACTTAGAGCAGCAGTTCCCAAAACTCAAGGGTGGCATCTCTCTGGAGCTCATGGTCTCTGATGCTGACGTGTGACTTGGGGGGGGGGGGGGCTGGCCATCTCCAGCAGTTTGGGCCCCACAGCCTCCGCCGCCATCTGTTTGACTGAGGGGAGGAGCTCGGGTTTCCAAGCCACTCTGGAAAACACAGCGCAGGCTCCTCACTCTGCTGTGCTGCACCCTGCCCCACTGGGCAGCCGCCAGCCTAGGTTCATGTGCAGACCTCCCGGCTTGGCACGCCAGGGAGGGAGTGTTGCCACCCCAGGCGGCCACTGGCCAGCAACAGTCATCAGCACTAGGTCAGAGGGGAGTGCAACCAGTGGTCAGATGAGTGGGTAGGAGGTCAAGACGGGAAGCATGTCCTCTCTCACTTCAGGGATCACACAGAAAAAGCCCGCCATATTCTCATGGCCCGGCAGGCTCTGTAACGGGAACAAACAGCAAGTTCTGCCTCATGAGGAGCTAGCCTCCCACAGCCCACTCCTTTATCACTCTGGCACTGAGATGAAGGCTCTGGTGCCAGGCTGCCAGCTGGGAGCACTGATTATGAGGGTGGAAGAGAAAGAATGTTCCTGTCCCTGGCACGTAGGATAGGAACCCTAAAGAATGGGCATTTAGGCCTGAAATGAACGCCTTGTTTTTGCCTAAATGCTCCCATCTCTTTGCCCCTATAATCCGATCGGGTGGGTACAGACAAGGCATGTGGCCATTTACACAGGGGTAAAGGCGACGGTCGTGACAGGAAATTGTCTGTACCACCAAAGCTTCCCCAAGAGCAAGCTGGACAGTATCTGCTTGAAATTAATGATTCACCAGCCACTCATTACACTTGTACTCGGCCTGGGTGAAAACAGATGCCAGTTCAGTGCCCTGACATCCGCTCTCTTCCCAGTTCTACACCTGGGAGAAACCAGTATGTTCTAGGTTGGGAGCAGACAGACAATGCTGACACATTGCCGCACATCTACTCAATGGGTAAAATTGTATTTTCCGTGAGACAGGATCTATAGACCAGGCTGGCCTCAAACTCAGAGGTCCTCCTGCCTCTGCCTCCCTAGTGCTGGGGTACAGGTGTGTGCCACTGCACCTAGCTATGGGTGTGACTTCAGGATGAGGAGACACCTCCACACCCTGTTCCTGGGCAAGGGCACAGAAGGAAGTAGTGAGCCACCAGGCGGAAGCAGGCAGAACTACAGGCATTTCATGTCACCAAGGGGAATGATTCCTGAGCAGCCCTCTGACACAAGGGTAAGCCTGTTTAAGAACAGACTTCTTCCACAGGGGCTGTAATGGCACACACCTATAATCCCCCTTGGGGGGCTGGGACAGGGGACAGTGAGCTTAAGGTCAGTCTTGGTTATGTACAGAGACCTCTATTGCAAGAATACAACACAAGGAATACCCTAGTATCTCGGGGCCCTTAGTGAAACCCCAGAAAGCATGAGCTTGGTGGTTTTGTAAAGACACTGCTGTCATCAGGGCCTTGGCAACAGCTGAACAGACATGAGCCCAGGGAGGACAGAGCCCAGTTTCGTCAACCTGAGGGGCCCCAGACGCCAAGGACAGGCTTGTCCCAGCAACCTGGGGCTTTCAGGAACTAGACAGCAGCAGTGCCCTGGTCTGTGGCTGGTGGACTCAGGTGGGAGCCACCATCGAAGGCGCACTGCTTGCTTGAAGGCTGAAGTCACAAGCCTCTAAGGACAGCCCCAGGGGAAAGACTCATTGCCCCAGAGTCTGGCACACTGGCACGAACCACGCACTCAATAAACGCCTGTCAAATAGAAGGCTCTGGGTAAGAAGATGGCACTCACTCTAGCAGCGACCCCACACACAGGAGAGCCACAGCGATCCCACAGAGAGCAGGGGACCTGCAGCCACCCTAGAGACAGTAGGGGCCCCTGCTCTTCATAAGTCTTTTATTAAAACTGGGTGACATAAGTAAGGAGACAGTACAAAAAAAAGTTTTGGTCCATGAAATAAAAACAAAAACAAAACACAATTCAGTTAATAAAAACAGTTATCAACAGGGACACTGTAGGAGTGCTGAGTTTCCTCATCATGCTTCCTGCCAGGAGCCAGGCTAGGGCTCAGCGCCCCAGGGTTGTCCAGTGTCTCTGTGGGAGGGGCAAATACAGGACAAGGGAAGGCAGGGGGAAGACTGCTGTCCCCAGTAAGAACAGGCTGGGGAGGGGCAGGAGCACTGCTCGCAGGAGCCTGAGGTGGGGGTGGGGAAGCAGGGGCTTTGTCAGTTCTGTGGGTTCAGAGCCCATGCTCAACGGAATCCCCCTGTGCCCAGCTGTCTCCCACCCTGCAGTGTTGTCTGCGAGCCTGGGACATGCTACTTCTGGGTGATAAAACCCGGAAGAATCCAAGGCTTCCCTGGAAGATGCAAAGCCATCTGTTCCGGGGACCAAGAACACACGTCCTGCTGCTACCTGAGGGGTCTGAAGCTTTGAGGGCAGGCGGGGGGTGGGGGGTCACAAGCCCACTGCAGACCTCATCTCCAGCCCTAGGCGCTCTTGCTCCTCAGTGCCCTGGAGGCCAGCAGGGAGTGTGCTCCAACCGGGCAGACATGGGACAGGAAGACAGGGATGGCCCAGGGCTTTACCCGTGTGATTTTAGGCCTGTTTCTCCATTTACGGGAGGGGCAGGATGGAGTGAATGAACAAGCCTCTAACAGCAGGAAGGAACAGTCTATGCTGGGAATGACAGCACCCCGGCTTCGGCTTCGGTCCCTGGGGCTCTGACAGGGAAAGGCAAGATCCCCTACCCAAATGCCATGGGTCAGGGCTGCTGTGGGGAAATCCATACCGGGCAGCTCCGGGAGTGTGCAGGAGGAAGCAACAGTTCAAAACACACTCCAATACTGACATGGACCCCACTGAGGGGTTAGACGGCACTGAGTCAGCAGGTCAGTCCAGAGGGTGGGGACAAACCTGGGCTCAGGGAAGCCCAAGAACCTGGGCTCCTTTAGTGCTAGAGGGCAAGAAGTAAAGGAGAATCTGCTCCAACCTATGGAGGGAAGGGAAAGTCGGGCTACCAGGAGGGCCAAGGTCAACTAGCTTATAGAGTGCCCTAGGCCTGAGGCGCAGAGGAGGGTCAGCTCCCAATGCCTGGGTCTCCTGGCAAGGGCAGGATCAGTGTAGCTGGTCTCCCTGAAGACCACCTGCCCTTAGGAGGCTCCAGCCATTTCAGAGCACTGATTACCACTATGGTTCTCTAACACTATCTAGAGGTCCTATGTAGACCGGGGATGGGGCAGGGAGGTAGAGGCACATGGGAACTTTGTAGGGGGAACTGAGGTGGGAGGCTGGGGTGGAGGAAGAGGACAACAGGTGCCGGTGAGACAGAAATGCGACACCCTCTTCATTGTGATGCTGTCCTGGAACCAACAGCATCTCCTGGAATGCCTCAGGCAAGACCAAGACAGGTACACTGAGGCAGGCAGCACAAGGCCCAAAGAAAGGATTGGTGCAGCCAAGTTAGAGCCACAGCAGCCCTATGTATTTCGGATTCCTAGGGCTTGCTCTAATTCTTGCCGCCTCTGCTGCACCTGAAAAGAAAACAGGAAGGAAAGCTTGAGACATCAGAAGTAGCAGCTGATGTCACCGACCTGCCTCACGCCATCCCTCGTGTGCTCCGAGCACAGCACCGACCTTGGAGTAGAAGTATCGGCACACAGCCTCCTGAGCCCAGGGCTGGAAGTAAAACTCAGCACGGCGTTCCTCTTCTGGGTTGCCCACCACATCAGTCATAGTCTGCATGAGAAGGGGAGGAGAGAACCAACATGATTCCTGCTTTCACATCTGCTCGCAACTGAATTGTATCCCTTGACCAACCCCGTCTCCCGCCAAAGACGCTGAAATTCTAATTCCCCAGTACCTGTGAATGTGACCTGACATGGAAATGGGGTCTCTGCAGATGATCAAGTTAAGATGAGCTCATTGGGGTTGGCCCTAATCCAGTATAACTGGTGTCCCTTATAAAGGAGGGAAATGCAGATGGAGACAGATACACAGAGACACAGTGTGAAGACACATGAAGAATGGCAAGCCTAGGCTGAGGGAAGCTCGCAGAGCGCACAGGAACAACCCCTGCTGCCGCTTTCATTCTCAACTTCCAGTCTCCACCACTGGGACACAAATCCCCATTGCTAAAGCTACCCAGCAGACAAAGAGGATACCCCAAGCTGCCCTGGGCACCCAGTAAGTCACTGCTGGGTCCAGTGCCTCTCTGGTGCATTGGTCACAGCAATCACAGCAAGGCAGTCATCTGAGGCGTGCTGCCTGGGCACATTTTCCCGCCTGAGCTTATGAGGCAACTCTCTCTGAGAGGCATCTTCAGCTCCATTTTCCATACTTTCCCCAGCAATTCTCGATCATCTACTTCCCTTTGTTCTGAACAGCCTTACTGATTCTAATCAGTTTGGCCAGTTACTGTTCTTTAGTCACACTAGCCTGTTTTTTCCAGATGGATCTGTGGGAGATCTTCAGCAGATCTTCAGCTCTAGTCCCAATGGCTGGGAGCCCAGTGGCCACACTGAGGAAGCACCAACTATATTCCCCATTATAAAACAGACCCCGGGATGTAAAAATAAATGTGTCCCTCAACTCTTCAGAGATGAAACAATGTGCTGCTCTCCCTATGGCCCTCTGGGCCGTTCTCAGCTCTTTACCTTGAGGTCCCTGCACTGGGACTGAAGCCAATCATTGATAAAACCCTGAGGGTCTCGGGCAAAGCTCAGCATGAACTCTCGCTGGGTCTTCAGCTGGTTGATGGTTTCTATCGTCTCGTGGATCTGAAAGGAAGAAGATCCATTGAGAATGCGCTCCATTCTCAAGCCAGGCAGACTCTAAGCTAAAGGCAGAGCCAGGCTGGCAGCCAGCTGCCCCAGCTCAGTGCAGACGGCCAGAGTCCATTGGGAGCAGGATCTCCCACACCCTCCCTCGGCCTCCTCCTTCTACCCCAGGTCAGGGAGGCTGCTCTTCTACATGCAGCACTACAATCTGTGAACACCTGATCACTGGCAGTCCAGAGCCCAGCCGACGTGCTTCCACAAACCCACGCACTTTCCTGGCATTTCAAAACACTTTAAGCTGAAATCTCCCGAGCTAAACCGTTTTCCCCTAACCTCTCCTCCTCTCCTCAATCTTAGACTTCTCCCCACCCACACCAGGCCTCCTCTCAGTCCCACCCACACAGGGGCCACCTCACTTAATTTCACCCACTCAAATCAGCTCCATCCTGTCTGCACCTTTGCTTCAGAGCCTTGACGTATCTCACAGACTGTCAGTCTAGCCTTCAAACTGGACTTGCTCCAGATCTGCCTGTCTTCAACTCTCTCACCCACTCACTATGCAATTAGCGTTAGCACCTCAACAGTGAAGGCGTCTACCAGGCTTCTCTCTTAGCTGCAGGAGGTGTGTGCACAGGCCCTCCCCAGTCAAAGCTCTATGATCAGGTGCCTACTGCCCTGCAGCTTCCTCTCCCCGGATATCCTACGCCGGGGAACCTTGTGCCTCCATCAGCATGCCAGACAACTTTGTACTTCTTGCGCTTCTGCTGGTTTTGAGGTAATCTGTAATCCTAGCTGGCCAGGAACTCATTGTGTACATAACACTGGCCCTGCACCTGTGGTGGCTCGCCTGCTTCTGCCTCCAAGCTCTAGGAGTGCACGCGTGAACCACCATGTCTTTGCTTCTTTCTTGGAACACACTAAGCTCATTCTCCTTTCTGGATGTTTACATACCTTGTTGTATCTCTCTACACTGTTGTCTGCCTTTCATACACCAAACACCACTGTCTCCTCTCCACCTGTTAACTGCCATCCCACCCTTCAAAATTTAGTTGAGCTGCCTACTCCCCGAGGAAAGCCCCTAGTTATCTCTGGTGTTTACAAAGCACTTTGGCAGACTGGAGAGATGGCACAGAGATTAAGAGCACTGGCTGCTCTTCCAGAGATACTGAGTTCAATTCCCAGCAACCACATGGTGGTTCATAACCATCTATAATGAGATCTGGTGCCCTCTTCTGGTACGCAGGCAGAACACTGTACATAATAAGGTAGAATGTTGTATAAATAATAAATAAATCTTAAAAACAAAAACAAAAAAACAAAAAGCAAAAAAAGCCAAAGCACTTTGGCTTTGTCTGCAGCAACTATGATTATAATGTTAACGATGGTGGTAGCAGCATTAACAGCAGCAGGAGTTACCACTGCTGCCTTTTATGTGCTAGGGACACTTCCTGTACAGAGCAACCGTGTAAAAATAGGCGTTAGTCTTCATGTCAGAGACAAGAGGCTGAGGCTCCACAGCACTGAAACGAATTCCCCAAACTGGCCACAGTGGCTCGTATCTATAACCCCAGCACTGCTGACAGGACGTAGGAGAATCATCCTGAGTTTTGGCCCAGCATAGCCTACAAGGGAGAAATTGACTCAAATGGTAAAAACAAAAACAAGGCAGAATCAAAATGCATATGTGTGAGCCTGTCTCCACTTATTAGATTTAAGTGGAAACACAGAGCTCTACCTGAGAGGTGGGACAGAGACCCCTACCTTGTTGTCTAGAGTGGCAATCTCCTGCTGGCTGGCAGTGGACAGCAGAAAAGAATTCATCTGAGTCTTCAAAGTGTCATCCACTTCCACATCAATGTCATAGCAAGCAGTCTTTTTCTGGTCATTTGGGTCAACACTGGGGAGGAAAGCAAGAGGGTCCAGTCAAAGGGCTTTTTCTGAGACCTACTTGCCAAGGTCAGAAAGATGGTCCAGGGACGAGGGAAAGGGATGCCAGTGCAAAAGGCACAGCAGAGATGCCCTCCATCTTCCCTCAGAGAGCTGTCTGCATCTCCAGACGTGTGCACTTTAAATGGTATAATTTGTGATATACAAACTAACTTACTGATTTTGGTTTTCACTATATTTACTTACTCTGTGTGTGCCTGTGTAGGTCAGAGGACAATCTGTGGGAGTCAATTCTCTCATTCTATCACACGGGTTCCAGGGACTGATATAAGGCATCAGGCCAGGCAGCCACTGCCTTTAGCCTATTGAACTAGCTTGCTGGTCTGTGTTTGGTTTTTAGAAAGTTGTAAAATTCAAACAGCACCAAAGGCATTTTGTGAAAAGTTTAAGAATGGGAATCCAAGCTGGAAAATGGTGCCATCTGCCTTTAATCCCAGCATTTGGAACGCGGAGGCAGGTGATCTCTGTGAGTCTGAGGCAGCCTGGTCTACAGAGTGAGTCCAGGATAGCCAGGGCTATGCAGAGAACAGGAAGGCAGCTTCTGGGGCCACGATGCCCAGGCTGTGGAGTGAGTAAAGGGACCAAGGAAGCACCGGCCTTTATAACACTGTAACATACAACATAAAAGAAGGCCGCAAAGAGCTGGTATCTGAGGACAGGGCTGCTGCTGTCTAGAGATGCCTGGCTCTCTATCTTCCACATCAAAGAAAGCAAAGCAAGGGTTGGAGTCTGACTGGAAGCCCCATCTTTCTTAAAACGATGGCTGCTGATTCCTTCCATGGTGACCAGCTGGTAACCAAGTCTCCACTGGCATCGGAGACCCACTATGACAGTTAGCTGACTTCCAGCCACTCACGTTCCGCACTAGCCAGGGAGAAGAGCATGCAACCACAGCAGGTACCAGCCACCTTCAGGGCACAAACTCCACAAAGGTTAACAAAACAGCAGGCAAGCAGGAAGTTTGTCTCACTCTCACTTTTAATACAATAATGAGCTTATGAAATTTAAATTGAATAAATAACCACATCCAGCAAGACCTCTGGCAGCCTGACAAGCGACTGTGCAAGCTGGTCCCAGGAGGCTCTGGCACGCACGGGCTCACCTGATGACGTGATTGATGATGATGGGCTCTGGCGGCATAAGCAGGGCATGGAGCCGCTGGGGGATCTCTGAGAACTTCATCCGCTGAGATTCAAAGATCTGAGAGAGAGAGAGAGAGGTGGCAACAGATTGGCACTTGAATGCAATCAGACCCTCCAATCCGAGTGTGCCCTTTCCATACCTGCTGGAGGTACTTGTCGCAGATAACGAACTCGCGTTCATGGGGGTCCTGGAGCTTGTGTGTTTTAATATACTGCCACAGCGCTTGGATGATCACCGGACGCGTCTGCGTATGGATGCCCAGGAGTCGCGCCAGGCGGGGGTCTAACTTAAACTGGGGCGGCTGCAGAGAACGGAGAACAGGTGAAGCCAATGAGCGGCTTCCAGGGGCTTCTTGGGGTGCTCAGTATAGCAACACATTCTATCTAACAAACATTAGTAAATCTGGGCAGCAAAGTGGCAGAAGACGAGGAAAAATGGCTCTTTGTTGGATGCCCATGGGGCGTGGCCACGAGAGCGGGCCCGCCACACCTGTGCACAGTACCTGGTAATCCAGCATCAGCAGGACGGTACACCGCACATTCACATCGCCTGGTCGCTTCACCTGGAAGCCATCGGTCTCCTGGGTAGTGGCGGTCCTGTGCCACTACAGAGAGGGAGATGTCAGGGGTACTCTTCCAGAGGAAGAGCTGGGGCGGGAGGGAAGAGCTTCTGTAAGGACCGAACATTCAACCTGGAGCACTGAGGCCACTGCGGAAGAGCAACGGCATGAGGCATCTCTAAAACCACGTATGTCCTTGGAATTATTCTCTATGGAAACAGAGCCTTTCAATTCTAACTGTCTGAGATGACTGCATTTAAAATGGCTTGAATTTCCAGTGATAATTTCACCCACAAAATGGATAACATATGTGGAGCAGAAATCAATGTACCAAGGGTTATCTATATATGAGTCTATGACGTTTACCCAGATTAATTCCCAAACACCCACTGAGGACGGTGTGACCCAACCCCCAGTAAAGAGACAAATGCGCTACCTAGAAGGAGGAAGCACCCACTGAGGTCAATACATAATGGAGCTGAGACCTGAGCTCCAGCGTGTCTGACTCAAGTCCACAGTCCTAGCCACTGCACTCTCCTGCCATAAAATCAACTATCTTGACAGATTCCTACTGACTCCACAACTTACTTCCCTTCTTAGGTGGCTGAGACCTTCCCACGTCTCTTACTGGTTGAGGTTAAGGGACTGTAGCTACAGTGGTAAAGAAAGGGGCAGGTTAAGTTCACAAAAACCTGGACTTTTCTGGGTCTGCTAACACAGTCTTCAAAACATTGCACAACCAGGTGCTGTAAAATATTTCTGGTTATTTGCTATATAAATCTAAAGGATCAGGGACCAAACGGAAGATATAGATTTATAATCTAGACAAACACTAGTACTCTGTCAGCCAACCTGTCAGAGTAACTGCTATCAGGAAAACAGAACGTGTCAGTAACTACAGCCCACCAATACTTAAACAAGACGCAGACAGAGTGGGAAGTGCAAGAGGGCTCTATTGGAACTTTCTTTGGGGACGGTGGTCAGGAGAGTGCAAGAGTTCTAGGGTCCCAACTAAGTACGTGTAGCGCCACCTAGAGGTCAATGTGCAAACTGCAACGGAGGAACCCCACACGGGCTAATCCTCTATTTCATTCCTCCCTCTTTCCCAAGTCCATCATCTCCCAGCATGGTTAAAGCCTGCAAGGCAGAACTACTCACTTCCACCAGGTGGTTGTCTGGCCCATAGAGGTCTTTGTCAAGTTCAATCACCAAGGACTTAAAAAAGGAAGAGAACTTTCTCTTCTGCTTGGTGGCATCGTATTTGGACAAGGCTGACTAGGAAAGAAATGGGGAGGTGTCATGTTAGACAAGCCCAGAAAGACATCCCCAAGACAAAGTTCCTTAAAAAGGAATTTCTCACTCTAGTGGGGAAAACCCGTTAAATATCTTGTGAATACGGCAAAGCGGCCACCCAGTCGGGCGTGACCTGTCTGACTTCCCATTAGGGAAAGGAGGCAAGTGAAGCCAAGCGTTACCATAACAAAGCACATCTAAACAAAGAAGAGCCTGACAGAAGAGGGGATAAATCACAGGCAAAAAGCTGTGTGACAAACACTGGCTTTATCCAGACAGAACTAGACCAGCAAACAGACTGGACCTAGCCAGAGGAGGCTCAGGTTCTCCTGCAAAACTGCATTTGAATGACTCACCTGCACATCGTCAGAAAAAGTGCCAGAGTACAAAGGAGTGAGTGAAAAATTAGTCTCTCGACAACAAGCTACTGGGTGGAAAGTTTGGGGGCGGGGCTCTCATTGGTCTAATGTTCCCGGTGGAGCCATAAGGAGCAAAGCCTCTGGGGGACTCTCATACTCAAACTGTGGTACCTCCAACAAAAGCTGGGAAGACGGAAATAACCTCAAGGACCTAAGAGAGGAAACATGGCCTCAGATACTAAATACAGATGGGAGGTGGGGATGAGGGACCACTGGGAGGAAAAAAAAAAAATCTATTGATGCTGCTAAATCCAAGGCCAGTATCACCAGAGCAAAGTCAACAACAACTGAGACCCCAGGACAATCCATGTGACACCAGTGAAGCGGTGGGAGCAGACACAAAGGACCATTGTCTTAGTGTGCAGCCAACACAGAGCCCACCCCCATCTCCGGAAGCTCCCAGCAGGAGCTGGGAGCACCAGCCAGTCAGGTTCCTTGTGACCAGACAACACAGCTGGCTCCCAGCAGCTAGAGCACCAAGCACAGTGGACCTTGAACTCACATCCTCCAGGAGCCGTCCTTCCACCCGGAGCTCCCAGGAAGCCACCGTCCCTTCCCCGTCTTCGGCATCCGACTTAGCCGGATTGAAAGTGTTGGAAATGAAAATTCGCAGCTTCCGTTTTTGCTGAGGAAGGCAGAAACAGGATTGATGGCAGGGCCTCAGCAGTTTGCCACTGCGGCTAACAGGCTGGCTTACTCTAGGTGGGTAAAGACCCTGCTTAGAAGAAAGAGGACAGGCCCCGAGCCTAGGTACAAGTAAACGTGCTGGGGTACCAGGAGGGCAGAGTCATGTATGGCAGGTTCCCAAGCTAGCAAGTAGTTAGAGCAAAAACACCGACCGGGTGTATTTCTGGTGCAAGAGACATGGACCGCTCCCCCACCCCTTTTTCTACCAGCTGTTCTACTCCTAAGGCTCCTAATGTAATTCCTGGCTTGAAGGCAGAGGAGAAAGATGCAATTTAAATGACAAGGAGAGCTGTGCAGCGCTTTTGGTTTCTCACTTTAAGCCTGGTGAAGGTTCCTGGGTCCCCTCCCCTGACCCTTTGCCTGGTGCCGTCCTGAGTTACCTTGATGGGCCGTTTTAAGGCCTCCTGGATATCTAGCCGTTTCCTCATGATAGTCTGGTCCAGTTTCCTCTCAAAAGCCAGGAGGTCCATATAGGCCTGTGATTCTGGTACCAGTTCCCGAATCTTAGGAACAGAAAGATAGGATTGGGCCCTAGAGCTGACCACCTCCATTCTCAAAGTCACCGCACCTTCAAGACCCCTACAGCCTGCACTCACCCTTTGAGGTAGGATTTTGTCAGCCATTTTCTTTTTCTTTGCACTGTTTGGAATAAACACTGTTATCAGGTTGGGATAGGAACTAGTCAGAACTAAGCTGTCAGCACCTACGTTTATAGTACAGCTAAGACCTGCAAAATGACTCTCCATTTAAAGACTCTCCCTCTCCCATTACCATCAACAACTCCATCTCCAGGAGGCCAGAAAGCCTTCATTCGGGTGAGCTCCTTCAGCACACTCCCACCCCCTGAATCCTCACAGGCCTCCTCCCACTCCCTTCTTCCCTCCACCCCAGGGGTCATCTTACTTGTGGTTTCGATTTTGGACCGCCTGCTGCTGGACCTGCTGGATCTGTTGAGGCGCAGGTCTCTTGCGGGACTGGTCCATCCCTGACTGGGCCAGGCCAGGTCGGACTGAAGGGTTCCCCCCATAGCCAGGAGGTCCCATGGAAGGTCCCTGAGGTGTCATTCGGCTGCCTGGCAGCACGCCTGGTCTCTACAGAAGGGAGAGGACCCAGAGATGTCATACCTTTCCTTGCCAGCCCCACCAAGAAAGGAAAAGTCGGAAGAAATGGAACAGGGCTGGGAGGGTAGAGTGGAGAAAAATACAGCCCTCTGCCTCTTTGAAAGATGCTAACTGGACCTTCTGCAGGCCTAGCAGTGATTTCATAGAATATAGTTTAAAAACGAGATTATATTCAAATTCTCTGGTCTAATCTGGATCACACATCTCTAGTCTTCCATGCACTTTACTCGCTGCTGTCTCCTCTGAAGCTGACCTCAATTTGCAGCTATAACTTGGGTGTTCCTCTGGACACCGGGGCTGCCCATTCCCTTCTGCATTCCACGTCCATCGCAAGGCCCACTTCACCCACCCCGGTTCCACACGCACTCCTCACACGGAAACAATGCCGCTGGGAGCAGGTGAGGATGCTAAGCTCCCCCCACCCCCCACCCCGCCCCTCTTCCTCTGCACTGCTTCTCCCCCACCTCCACCCAGGACCCGAGCCCCTCCCAGGGGAGGCCCTCCCACTTCTCCCTCACACTCGTCAGCCCTCCGCCCTCGCTCGGCCCCGCCCCCGGCGCGCGCGCCCCTCCTCCTGCCCCACTCACCGGATAGGCCGCCCCGGGCATCGGGGAGCGGTACAGCCCTTGACCCGGCGCGGGGCCCATTCGCACCGGAGGCCCGGGAGTTCCGCCCGGGCCCAGAGCAGCCGCCACGCCCGCTCCTCCTGAGGCTCCGGCGCCGCCGCTCGGAGCCACAGACTGGAAACCCGCCCGGGCCGCCATCTTCCCGGAGCCGCCGCTGCAGCTGCACAAAGAACCGGAACCGGAACTCCCCCCGCCCCCCGCGCGCCCCCCGAGCGCCTAGGCTGTTTGTGGGCCCGGCCCGCCGGCGGGCACGGGCGGCTCGGGGCAGCGAGACTACGGGCTAGAGGGGGCGACTAGCGGAAAAGGCGTGCCGACCACTCCCTCCCGCCTTCACGGGCCAGGAGGGAGCACCATAGAGACGTGATGCGCGGCCAAAGCGGTGCCGGGAGAGAGCGCCCCCAGGCGGTCGGAGGACCACAAGGCCTTGGAAAGCCACCAGCCCGCCTCCGCGCAGTGCGTTTACCTCCCTCTCCAAAGCGTGTCAGTTGTTTTAATTTTCGTTCTCCCACTGCTCGGACTCCAGGTACTAAAAGAGGGAAGCGTGCTGTTGATTCATTTTACAAACGGAAAACCTGAACTGAAAGGAGCTGTCTTGGCAAAGACAAATCAGCAAGTTAAAAGAGAAGCCATCCTGGACTCCGGTCTCCTGGCTGGTAGCCCGAGCCTCATTTCACAGATAATGGTTCAATGACTCCCCGGTGCGGGAACTTAACCCTTCATCTCAGACCTTTAACTTCGGATTTTAATGATTTCATGATTTATTTATTTGTTTGTTTGTTTGTTTAAGTATGTATGTATGTATGTATGTATGTATGTATGTATGTATGTATGTATGTATTACCTTGAATCTACTCCTGGAAGAAGAGTCCTAGAAATTTGTTGCCTTAGATTATTTTGCTTGTCCACTGCCCAGTGATTCAAACCCGAGCCTGTCCTTCTCCAGGAGGATCGGTATTTTCCTGATCAAGTATGTAGAATCTCATGTAGCCCAGACTAGCATTAAACTCACTGTGTGACAGAAGATTAACTGCTTCCGTCTCCCAGTTGCTGGGATTACCGGTATAACCACCGCAAACCCGGGCGTGGTGGTGCGTGCTTTAATCCCAGCACTGGAGAGGCAGAGGCAGGTGAGTTCGAGGGCAGCCTGGGCTACACAGAGAAACCCTGTATCAAAAACCAAAAGGAAAAGCTCCACCGTACCAGGCTATCACTCAAATGTCTTTACTCTAGTTGCCTGGCCCTCAAGGCAAGCTTTATCTTAGTGCTAACACCTATAGAGTTTTCAACTAAAAGGAACAACAACTGAGGAAGGCTTTGGTGGCTCACGCCTTTGATACCAGCATTTAGTAGGCAGAGGTAGGTGGCTCTGTGAGATCCAGGTCAGCCTGGTCTACAGAACCAGTTCCAGAACAGCCATGGCTACACAGAGAAACCCTGTCAAGAAACCAAGCAAACAAAACAAAAAACTCAACACTGCAAAGATGGATGAAACCCAGTTTATTAGACCAGAGGCATGCGTCACCCAGAGCCCCTCCTTCTGTCCCCCAGCCAGTGCACACTTTTCAGCTTTGGCCCTGCTTCCTTCTGGGGAGTTCTGCTCTCTACAGAACTCTTGGGAACCAAGATTCTATAGCCTCACTCTCTGGCTCCAGGCCAACGCACACAGGTGATCTGCCCACAAGTCCTGTTTTGGGATTAGAGACCAAGAGACAGTGGGGGGCAGAGGAGGCTTGGAAAGGGGTTGGGGCTCTGGCCTGGGAATGGTGCCAGGTGGGGGTGGGAGGCCCTCTGCCTCAACCTGTGGCTCCTTACAGGAGGGACACACAACAGCGGAGCTTCCAACTCCCCCTCTGGGCCTCTCCTTTCCTCACGTGAGCGAACCCTGCCTCACTAGAAAATGTAAGTGGTGGGCCTGGACACCTACGTGAGGAAGGGGCAACGGGCACCCAGAGGACAGAAAGGCTACAATAAGGGCTTCAGCTTCTGGCTGTGGGTACCCACTGCCCCAGCTGTGAGAGTGAGTCACCAATCCCCAGCTCCCCCTGCCTCTAGCATCTTGGCTTGGTATCCAGCAGAGCTCCATTCCTGGGTAGGCTTTACCTTTGCACCAATCCCTTCCCTTGGGGAGGCCATGGTCAGCCAGGCAAAGGGCACTGGGATAGGTGGAGCAAGGAAGAGGGTATGTTAAGGCTGCGGGGAGGGCAGAGGGTGCCCCAGTTGTGGGGGCAAAGGGCGAGGCCAAAAAGAGGCAGAGCTTGTAGTTCACAGCTTCCTTTATGTCGCCACCGAAGACAGTGCGAAGGTTACAATGCGCGGGTCGTCTCCTTGTGCTTCTCAAAGGGATGTGTGTACATGGTACAGACACCAGGGGGAGGTCCAACTCTTTATACAGGCAAAGGCATCCAGAGACGGAGGGGGAGAAGGGTGAAACACAAGGGAGAGCTTGGGGTGGGAGGATGGTTCTCAGAGACAGGAGGGAATGGGGTGGAGACAGACAGGGTTAGAGAAAGTATATACAGAGATATAGCAATATAGAGTCTGTATCATATAGAAATAGAAAATGCAGATGAGGTTGCCGAGAGAAGCAAATGAAGCTGGGGAAGAGGACTTGGGAGAGCTCCATAAGAAAATTTATGGATGTGGCCCTCTGCAAAGGCCTCTGAGAGAGAAGCCGGTGAGGTCAGGCGCCCTTGTCCCTCCCCGAGCAGGGGCTCACCAGCTAGGCCTGTTAGGGATGTAACGGAGGGCTGCCTCTTAGGATTTCTCTCCAGCAGCTTCAGGGGAGAGGTGACAGAACAGATACTGGGATGTGGCCTACAGCACCAGGGCCACATGGAGTCCCCATCTCTACCTCTACAGGGGATCCTCTACCCCCTAAAGATTCCGTATGCTTGAGGGAGCAGAACTGGGCGTCTAGTTCTTACCTGGAGACTCGGGCTCTCGGGGAGTCACCGGGCTGGGAGGGTCTCTTAAGGCTAGGGAAGCCCCCTCACTAGCCCTCCCCCTTAAGGTACATTCTCTGGTTTGGGGCCAAATTTCAGACCCTAGAGATCCCCTCCACCCCCCCACTAGGAGGGGATTTTGGTGACTGGTGGCAGCAGAATGTTGGTGGACACTCAGATGACAGACAGACAGACAGAATTCAGGCTTGGAGCTAGGGGAGGCAGCATGGAGCAGAGAGGGGCAGGCTGAGGTCCCGGCCGGATCTCTCTTTCTCTCTTTTTATATTAGTTTAATTTCATTAAAATAAAAAGATGGCATAGAGGCTGGAAGAGAACTCCATGGTCAAGACTCCTTCCTCACCACAGACGAGAGGAGCCACTGCCCAGGAATGCAGCTGAGTCCCCAGGGTAGCCGGGGGCACTTGGGGCCCCTCGCCCTCCTAGCCCTCCCCACCTAGGCCTTTGGTGCAGTGGCCTGCGGAGCTTAGCAGGTAAAGTCCTCAAACGTGCCTCGAGCGGGGTGGTGAGGTAGGATGTTGGCAGCGTACGTCATTCCGGCAGGGTGTCCCCGGAGGCTCTCGCAGGGGTTCTGACGGAGGGACACAAGACAGGAACAGGTTACAGAAAGGGCTGCAGGTAAAAAAGGTGGCTGGCTCGGAGATGGGGTTGCTGTGAGGCGGGAGGAGGCCCCCTGCCCTGCTGCCTCACATGTCTTTTGACGTCATCCAGGCTGAGCGCCACGCCCTTATCTGCGCTGCTCCTCTTGGCCTCCTTCTGGCATTTCCCTCGTCTACACAGCCGGTGCTTAATGACCTGGGAAAGGTCGGGGCAGGGTGGGTGAACTGGAACCCCCAACCCAGGTTGCCCCACCCAGCCCTGCCCCCTTACCTCCTTACCTCGTAGGCGTAGTCAAAGAGCTCCAGCACTGTGAGAATGCTGGCCCCGATGAACAGCCCCATCTGGCCTCCGATGTCACCTGCGGGGTCAGGTTGGAGAGGTTAGTGGGCTCAGGGCACGAGGGCCGACAGGTGGTGGCTGTCAGGCCAGCCATGTTTGCAGAGATCGGTGCCCCGAAACAGAGGGATCAGAAAACCAGCCTCTGGCAGGATTTTTGTTCTCTATGCTTTTCTGCATTTTCCTACTTTCCCAAAACGAGCAGCTACTATTCAGGAAAAATCCTTTACAAAACTGCTTTCTCAGTATCTGGGCCATTTTCAAGGAAATCTGAAACAGTTTCTGCCTCTTGTTCCCTCAACTCCTTCCCTGACACCTGTCTTTTCCACTTTGTCCTAAGAGAAGGCCCAGTCCCTTTCCTTCCCTTCATTTGACACAGGAGCACTCAGGGGAACGCCCCTGGGGACAGGACTGAAGAAGGGCATGCAGCATTGGGCAGGAGAGAGATGTGTGTCCCAGGCACAGGAGAGGGCTCACCCAGGAGTCCTGCAATCTCATAGGCCTTTTTCTGCTCGATGGTCTCATAGTTGAGGACTTCAAAGAAAATGTCGAGCACCAGAATGTTCTCCCTGTGCAGAGGTGAGAGGAGGAGAGCTAGGTTCGAGTCAGAAACCCACTGGACAGCTGATCTCAGTATCTTAGGCTCTCCGGGGCTGTTTCCATCTCCCTAAATGAGACACTGATGAAGAGGCCTGCCTTCTAGGGGGGCTGTGAGGATTAAAGTAAATGGCATGTATGAAAAGACAGTTTGCATGCCGGCACGTGGGAGGCGGTCCCAGTTACAGCAAGGAAGACAGAGCTAGAAGATAAAGCGAGGAGGGAGGAGAGAGCTCACATTACTTATTCCAGATTGATCTCCCCACACACAACCCACGCTCTCCCGCTGCCTCTCGGGCCTCCCATGAATTAGCTCAACTTCCCTGTGCCTGTGAGACCCCCGATGAAGTCCACCCGTGCCCTCGGCAGCTCTTGGGCAAGGCCCCAGCGCCCGCACAGTGGAGTCCTCACCCTATGTACTGTTCGGATTTGTTGAACTTCTTGGCCAGGTACTTGGCAGAGGCCTTGCTGGGGATCTTGACCATGGACAGCTCCTTGCCATAGCGGGTCAGGTTGCAGGGCATCTCACACACGCAGTATTCCTGGTCTTTCTCCACTAGGAAGTCTGTGTCCAAGCAAGAGGTGCTAGCTGAGTGCCAGGCCTTCCCGGTAAGGACACACCGGCCCTGCCCCAAGGATCCCAGGATCCCGCCTCTTTCGCCTCAGCCCTGTGTGGACTCCTCAGCTCATCCTCAGCCAGCCTCCCTCAGCCTTCTCAAGGACCATCTGAGGCTGAGAGAGGGTGAAGGCCCCTCTCAAGAGACCCTTGTTGACTCTCCACAGGGACCTTTGAAGGCGCAGCTCTCAGCTCTTAGAGGCAGCTGCAGCTGGAGTTCAGCCTTGGCCTCAGCCCCCGTGCCTGGCCGCATTTTCTTCCCTCCCCCTGACTGGCTCAGGAGACAGGCGCTCACCCAGGGCCGGGTCTGCGCACTCCTTATACTGCTCCGGAGTGCAGTACGGGGCATCCCCTGCAAAGGAGAGAAGGCGGTAGGACAGGTGGAGGTCAAAGGTCTTGTGATAATACGGTGCTGTGTAAGGGGGAGGCTGGTAGGTGGGACGGATGGAGTAGCCATTCCTAGAACCCTGGAAGTGACCTGTTCTCCCAGCCTACCCTTGTTAGACTCCCCCCCCCCGACACACACACAGGGAGGAACTGAGCGACAAGAGTCAGAAAGCTAAGGTATGGAGTGCTCAGGGCCCAGGGTTAGGATGGCCAGAACAGACAGGGCCCAGGTGAGGGTCAGCGTAGCCTGAGATAGCCCAGTCCCCTGGAACCTCGGGGCCTCACCTGGCATGTGCACCATGCGGCAGTTGCAGTTTTCCACCAGGTAGCGCGTCTCGCAGTCAATCCGGCAGGCGGTGATGCTGTAGGAGTCGAAGAAGTCCGAGTCCATGGTAACAGCGTTGCAGGTGCCCCAGGGCGAGGGCAGGTAGATGAGCTGCTGGGAGAGCCACGGAGCTGGGGCGCGTGGGGCGTCCCCCACCTCACCGTGACGGGCTGCTCAGCAAGACCCAGAACTCAGGAGCCTCAGCCCTGTGCCTCAAAAGGCCTTTGAGTTTGCAGACCGTTCCTTCCATTCTCAATTACACCCCTCTGTGTGTGTGTGGGCGTGTGTGTTCATGTGTGTATGTGTATGTGTGTTCGTGTGTGGCTGTGCCCCATGCACAGTCCACACATAGAAGTGTACGGTGAACATGATTCTCTGTTTCTCTCTGCTCATTATCTCCAGGCGGGATCTCCTGCTGAATCTGGGGCTCCTTGGCCAGCTAGCCCAGGGATCCACCTGTCTCGGCACCCCCCAGCCCAGAACCGGGGTCACAGTTATGCGCCATCCTGATTTGTACGTGGGTCCTGGGGATCTCAGTTGAGGTCTTCTGCTTGCATAGTAAGCATCCCGTCTCCCAGGATGGCCCGCTGAGCCACCTCCCCGGAACCCCATCTTAACATTTCAGCACTCCACCCCAGAAGTAGCCTTCTGCAGCCCCCTCACCCTCTGCTCCTGGCAAGACACAAAAGTCTGGAAGCCGGGGGCCACACCAAAGCCCAGCTGGTCGATGAAAGGAGGTTCATCCTGACTGTGGATTTGCACTTTGATGCCTGCTTCGAAGGATGTCTCGTCTGTAAAGACAAAGGCAGGAGCCGGGAGGATTTCTGAGTTCCTAATCACGTTCAGAGCCCGGGGCAGCACACTTCCCCCGACCATAAGCACAGTGTCTTGGTGAGGAGGTGGTGCGGTCCTAGCATGGCTCCAGGCTCCGTGGCAGCGCTCCGTGGCGCTCCAGTGACCTCTGCACCCTCCACCCTTCTTACCCCATGTCTGCAACGTATTTCCATGTCTCAGATTATCTCTCCTGCCATGTCACTGTCTCGGCCACTCTCCATTTCTCCTCATCCCTTTCTCCTTTCTCCCCATCTCTCTCTCTGCCCCTGCGTCCCCTGAGACCAGACAGGCAGGCAGCCCAAGAAGAGAGGGAGTTATTTATAGAGTGAGTGGCGGCCACTGATGGAAGAGCATGGCTGGTTACCTTGGAGAGTAACTGAACCAGGAAGGAGGAGCTAGGAAATGGAGAGTGTGGAGTCACGTAGGGGCAAAGACAGACATGGTGAGATCTTGAGAGAAGGGGCGAGTCAGGCCTCAGGGCCACACAGTGGAGCCCTAGTTGAGTCCGGGGCGAGAGGGGCCCAGGGAGGGGCTCCTGAGCAGGGCAGCATACCTGTCTCCCCCCACACAGGCAGGTATTCATCTTGCTGGATGTCCAGCATGATCTCCAGGCCATTGCCAGTCCCGCCTTTCATGGTCTTCAGCCGCGGCCGCCCATCTTGGCCTGAGTTGAATGTGTAACACTTCCCATACCGCGTGAAGACCTGGCGGAGGGCAGAGTGAAGAGCGTGAGAGTCCTGCCAGCAGACGGGCTTCTGGGTGGGTTTGACCAGTGAGACCCACCAGGGACCAGGCACCGGCAAAGCATGGAGTACCTCTCTTTGCCCCTCTGACTCCGGCAGCGGTTTAGCCCCTCCGTGATTGCGCCTCTTGCCAGGAGGACTCCCTTTGTGCTCCTTCAGCCCAACAGTGATGAGAGTCTCCCACTATGACTGGCTCTGTTGACCCCCCGTACTGGCTCCCTTCATCCTGCACACAGCTTCACAAACAGCCCCTTTGTCAAAATCTTCAACTCAGCTGTCAAGGGACAATCTTTTTCTTGTGAGGACCCTAACATGTGCCCCTCTGCCTCCATGATTTATAACTGCCAAACCTCTGAGGCCTTCTGAAGTAGATCTTTAGATCTTTGCTTTAGGATGTCACCCCTAAATCCTTCCGAGATCTTCATCTACACCTAAGCCCCTCAAAGCCAAGCCCCCTGTCAGTTTCTCCCCTGTGTCAGCGCCTCACGCCCACCATCGTTCCCTTATCACTAGAACCTGAAAGTAGACCCAGCTGCCAAGAACCAAACTTACTGGAGCTTATCCCATCTCCCAGCACTCGGGACTGAATCCTAGGCCTGGCATTTTGGGGTGCTCGAAAAGCTAGATGGTGCTGTATCTTTTGCCCTCCCCAAGGCCCAGTGGACAAAACCACCAGGCCACAATCATTTCGGGGACAGAGATGGCACCCACATGCTCCCACATGATAGGGCACAGAGGGGTGAAATTGGAGAGGAAAGGCCAGGCATGAAAATCTGCACAGGCCAGCCAGGACCACGCGCTGAGCTGGGGAGACGGTGGGATGGCAGGTGGCTCTTTATCTAGATGGTTGTCCCCACCTCTGTGTGGGGAGTCCAGCGGGGAAGGTGACATTTTCCAGTGACAGCCTCCTCCAGGAAGAAAGTCCTGGCCACTTAATAAGGGCTGGGAAAACAGGCTTTGATTTAGAGGCTTCCTGACCTCACAGACAGATAGGTCTCTCTTTTTCCCCCTCTCTTTCTCTCTCTCCCTCTCTTTCTCTCTCTCCCCCCCACACTCACACACATAGTTGCTCACACACACACACCGTACTTTCTCACATACACACACTCACACACACATATTCATACACACTCACACACATACACACCACACACAGGCACACACTCTCTCACATGCCATTCTCCCTCACATACCACATACCCACCATTCTTTGTCACACACACTATTCTCACTCACACACACGCACTTTCTCTCCCTCACACACACACTTACATACTCTCACACACACTGCTGGTGGGGCATGGACCCCCACAGGGGAGAGCACAGGAGGTCAAGTTCGGATGCAGTGCTGTCCCTGCTGTGAGATCTGCTGAGCAGGCGCGGGGTGTAGTGGGGCTGTCCCCTCCACCTGTGAGCCCCTTCTGCACTCTGGAAACTAGGCAGCTCCGCCCCCAGCTATCAGGATAGCCAGCACGTGGCCAGCCAGTCATCTCATCCGTGGCCCCAGCAGCTAGGAGGCTGACCTCACAGAGCAAGGTCTGGGGAAGAGGAGATCGGGTCTTCCAGGCATCAGAGCAGCAGCTAGTTAGGGCAGGCTGTGAGCCTGGGGTTGGGGAGGCTGCGAACCCGGGCTCTTGTCTAGCTCCAGCCTCTGGCATCCCAGTGAGCTCTGGGCTCAGCAGTTATCAGCCCCAGTCCAGCCGCAGCCCCTGGAGCCGATGGCCGGAGAGAGCGCCAGGGCATATGCCCTGGGAGCACTGTGCGAAGCATGGGTCTCACTCACCACTGAGAAGTTGTGGGGGCCACAGGGGCCCCCACAGTAGGAACAATACAGCAGCATGTCCTCCAGCCGATGGCAGGAGCGGTTGTAGAAACGATGGAGGTTAAAGGGCTCCCCGGAGAACGCCTCTGGCCCCGGTGGAGCAAGGGGAACCCCAGGATCATCGCTTTCATCCAGCCCTAGCATGGGGGCCAGGTAGAGCAGGTCGGGGTAGCTGAGCTGGGACAGGCGCACGGGATTAGTGTTACACAGGGTGACCGCTGGGAAGACCAGCTCCGTGGTGGCCACTTCATCCACCAGGGTGACATGCGGGTAGCTGAGGTAATAGGCAACACGGTCCCCTACCTGGCACAGGAAGGCACCCAGCGCTATGACAAAGGCCACTGCCCAGAGGACCTGCCTGGGCCCTGGGCCCCCTTCCACAAAGACATGGCTGGCACCGTGGAGGGTACAGCTGTTGGCAAAGGCCGCCAAGTCCCTAGGTGGGTCTCCCTCATCAAGCTCCTCTCCTGTCTCCTTGTCCTTGTCTTCATCTTCCGAATCTGAGCTGTCCTGCTGCTGCCGGTGGTGGTGGGCCCCCCAGACATCTCCCATGGGTCTCTCAGCCTCCTCTCCAGAGGAGAATGACACAGAGCAAAAGATCTGGATGGGCATCCTTTCCAGGGGCCAGGAGGAAGGCGCTGAAGGGGCCCGAGGAAGGGCTTCAGGTGTGTGGTCCAGCAGGGCCAGCAACCTAAGGCCTCCGCTAGGCTAGGCCTCCACCGCTCCCCACCAGAGCCTCTGTGGCAGTGTGGCTGAGCTAGGGCAGGGCATGAGGAGGAGGCCCAGACTGGCCTGCTAGGGAGGGCGGAGTCTGTGCCCATGAATAATTGATGGCGGCCTGTTGGGAAGCGTGTAGCTGAAGACTTTTGTCTGACTGGCTCCAGCAGGATGAAGGTTCTAAGTAAAGTGAAAACTCTGGGAAAGCGGTGGGTTTGGGCTCCTGGGACCCTTTCCTCATGGAAGGTGACAGCCATTCCCCCTGTTGCCACCTCGGTGGCTGCCCTCTTCCAGGCTGTGCCCGGATACATCACTGCTCCTCAGCAGGCCCTCAGTTTCCCCATCCCCACTCTGCCTTCTCTCCTTATTCTCACTTGATGTAGATCTTCTTCTGGGGTAGCCAAGCCTCAGGCCCTCTCTAATTCCCCTCCACACATGCGCACACACACACCTCCCAGTCTCCCTCAGGCCTCTGCTCACTCTTAGCATTCCTTTGACACTTAGTTACCTTCCTGTCACTGACCCTAGCCCCCAGCCTCCCTGCAGTCCCTTCCTCCACACAGCTAGTTCCTGACTCCCTTTCTCCCAGGCCCACAGCTCTATTTTAGGTCCACACCCCTCCCCCAAGCTCACTACACTGAGGTCGCATCCCCTCCCCCACCCGTTTTGTGGCTTGTGGGGCAGCCCACGTTCCATTAGCAGCACTTTCTCATTGACCACAGACTCATTTCTGACCAGTTCCCAGCATTGGAGGAGGGATTCTTGAGTCTGAAAAGCTTGCTGACAGAACACCACTATCTGCTGCCCAGTTACCCTCCCCCCTAAAAAACAAAACAAAACAACCAGTCGGAGGAGGAGTGTGCAAAGTTCTCCCGTGGATGGAAGAAACTGTGGCCGATCTGGAGACCTAAGGTCCTGGAGCAGGTGAGGAGCATTGGGAACCAGTGCTGAGAGTGTCCCCCCAAAATCCTGGTGTCACCCCTCAGTCCTGAGGCTCTCTCTGCTCTCAAGGTACCGTTCCCTGCCCCCAGGCCCCTGGTTCTCTTGTGCTCTGATTACCCAGGGCCACTGGTTGGGGAACTTGAGCAGCCAAGTCTCTAGGGCCAAGAAGGTGACCTAAGAGAGGGAAGGGAGGGAGGGAAAGAGGCAAAGCAGATTAACTCATTCTCAGCAGTGCCGTGAGTGTTTGCTGACTAGGGCTGCCTGGGCCGCCCCATGCCTTAGGCATTGTTAAGGCTAGCCCACTTGCAGGAGAGACCCTAGGATGTGCTAGGGGGAGAGGCCAGGTTCTAGAAGAGCTGAGTGCTGTGCAACTTCTGGCTTCCACTTTCACCGCTAGGGACATGAGGCCCAGCAGAAGAGAAAGCCCAGGGCTGGCCCCTCTCCATCCTTCCATTGCCCTTAGACATGTCTCAGTTCTTTTTTCCCTTATGAATGATAGCGTCCCCTTGTCCATGCCGTCAGCTATGTGACCCCATTCCCCTGCTTAACAGCCCTCATTGCTTCCTGGTAAAGCTCGTTCTCTAAGAAGGACCTGCACAACTGAAGGTCCTGTACCCCTCACCCTCACTCTGACACTGTCCCTAATCCAGCATCCAGCCACTAGACACCTTCCAGGCAGGATCGCCCACAGCCAGGACTTACGGTAGCTCCTACTGATTTTTCCTCATCTCTTTATTGTATTATTAGCATGTGTGCGAGTGTGGGAGCACGGCAGTCAGAAGACAACTTTCCTCTTTCTACATTGGGCTCTCAGAACCGGACTCAAGCCATCAGCTCTCTGCTTTTACCTGCTGGCCCTCTGATGATGAAGACGATATCATCATCAACAACACGGGCTCACTTTGTAGCCCAGACTGGCCTGGAATTTATTATGTAAACATCACAAAGATCCAACTGTCTCTTCCTCCCACATGCTAAGATTAAAGGTACACCGCCGTGCCTGGTCCCTCTAATCACTTTTATTAGTTATTTATTGCTTTATGTTTATGGGTGTTTTGTGGGCACAAGTGACTACGCATCACTCAGGTCAGAAAAGGGTGATAGGTCCCATGGAACTGGAGTCCCAGACCACCGGAAGCTAGTTGAGAGCCACTAAGTGAGTGACAGGAATGGGCCAAGCACCCTCTGGAAGGGCGGCCACAGTCTTTGGTGACCAGCCATCTCTCTCGTCCCAGCCCTCTCATCTTTCTGAAGAGACAGGCTCTCCCTGGGGTGCTGTCCCTGAACACCTGAGTTTAACTCCCAGAACCCACGTGGTAGTAGAACTGACTTCCACAAGGTGTCCTTTGACCTCCATAGATTGCAGCCATACACTAGAGTGATGTGATACAGCCTAGATACAAACTACAGTGTGATACAGCCTAGATAC